ACCTGGAACTGGACCCTGCTTTGAAATTTCATATTACCTTGAATAAATAAATCCACTAATTGATGGATTTATCCACATTCCACAGCCCTTCTAAGAGGCTGGGCAAAGGTACAAAATGTGAGAACAGAGATGTATTCACACTAACTGCAGTATTTTGTTTATATTTCTTATTGATTTGAAGACCCATAGGCATCATGTTGCTCTAATTCTGTATGTGCTGTAATGGCAATCTCAAATGGGGCTTCTTCCATCACAGCCAGCCACCTTGTTGGTAGTATTTAAAGCTGGAGTAAAGACAGATCAGGGCCAAATTAAGTTCTATTAAGTCGTACTGTAACTGTTTTTTCTCCCTCATCCCTTCTTAGTTTGGGGAAACGAATCATAAAATGGTTTTAATTGAAAAGGATCGATAAAGGTGTTAAACAGGACTGGCCCCAGCACTGAGCCCTGGGGAACACCACTGGTGACCTGCCCCAGGTGGATGTAACTCCATTCTCCACCACTCTCTGGGCCCGGCCATCCAGCCCGTTTTTTACCCAATGAAGAAGGAATACACCTGTCCAAGCCATGGGCTGCCAGTTTCTCCAGGAAAATGCTGTGGCAAACAGTGTCAAAGGCTTGACCAACCAATGAAAAAAAACCCCAAAAAGGTCAGGTGTGCAGGGAAGTGCAGGATGCTGCATTGGAGCTAATCACAAAACTGGAAATGCAGTAAGTAAAACTTTGCTTTTGAGCATTTTATCAAGTCGGTGGTAGTTCTAACCTCCAAAATAACCCTTGCATCTCAGTGAGTCTGTACTTCCCCACCCCTGACTGACCTCAATCTGCTGTTTGCTTTCCCTGCAGATCGCCTTCGGGACACGCTGATCCACGAGGTTTGCCACGCAGCCACCTGGCTCATCAACGGCGTTCGTGACGGGCACGGGCGGTTCTGGAGGTTCTATGCCAACAAATCAGCTGTAATTCATCCAGAGCTGCCAGTAGTAACACGGTGCCACAGCTACGAGATCAACTACAAATTCACCTACGAGTGTGCTCAGTGCAAAGCTACGTGAGTAATGTTTTGATGTGCATATGACCACGTATTCACTTTCTCTCTAACTTGCCAGTCTCCTGGGTCAAGAAATCATGGGTCTCTTAAAGTGTGAAGCAGTTGGGATACTCTGAGTTGCTTCATGTTTCCAGAGCCCACAGAACCTCACTGTGTGAATCCCACATGTTTGTTTCCAGGTAGTTTCAGTTCTAGTTCAGAGGTCAGGACAGGCAGAAGTGTCTTGTGAGTACCACTGGTGATGATGGAGGGTCTTTGGGTTGTATGTACATCAGCTTTGAAGGAACAAGTCCCCATAAAAACTAGGCACAGAATGTGTGACAACAGTTAGATTCTAGATCAGAGGAAGCTTTCTAGGGTTTGTATCTTGATGATTTTGAATTAAAACTAAAAAAAAGCAGCTGACAAGAGTGTTATTATTATCATCCCCCTCCATTCCCCAAAATTTAGGGGCTAAATGCATGCTTAGAAAGCATTTGTGGCATTTTTTTTTTACCTCTCAGGATCATATGACTCCCAGAAGAAAATAACATTTCACATATGGAATCTTTTTGAGGTGTTTGTTAGGACTGTACAATGCATAAGCTGCTTAGATGCAACAGAGCATGGAGAAGGTTTTTTGGTGATGGCTCTGAGGAGGAACTCCAAGGGGCAGTTGATATGTGGGTTGTGGAGGTGTTTGCAGATGTTGTAGCACTTCATACTCCTGGGCTGAGAGTAAAAGAGACAGAGGAAGGGACCAAGCTCAAAAGGCAGTGGAGTAAGTTCTAGGATAGAGCTGTGCAATACAGATTTGATTGTTCTGCTGTGTGAAGTGGGTACTGTTTGCTCTTCTCAAACACTGGCTTAGAAACCTGACCTGAGTATCCAGGCAGAAGAGAAAGGAGCCCTTTCCCACAAGTCCTTACTCTTCCCTTGCAGGATCGGCCGGCACTCCAAGTCCCTGGACACGGAGCGGTTCGTGTGCGCGTTCTGCGGGGGGCGGCTGTCCCTGAGCCAGCCCCCGGGCAAGGGGGGCACTCCTGCCAGGACACAGCTCACACCCTTTGCCAAGTACGTGAAGGAAAACTACGGACTGGCCAAGAGAGAGCAGCAGGGGCTGAGCCATGCAGAGGTCATGAGGAAACTCGGTGCTGATTTCGCTTTGAAAACCAGGCTTGATGATTCCTTTTAATATCTCAATACATTTCCTTACTTGATGCCACTTAAATTTTGTATATAGAGTAGTAGATGAGTCTAACATGAGTCTAAGAATTGTTTCAGAGGATTCCAGATAATTGTAATATTTTAGCACTAAGTACTTCTAATAAAGACCTTAAGGCCTTCTCTAAAATGCGCAAGAGTGAGCAAAAATGATGACAGCTAGTCCAGGGTGATGCACAAGTCAGGGTATCCTTAGACTTCAGAGGAACACCACCTGTGCCTGGGAAGATGCAGTTCCAGGCCCTTTGGGACCGACTCACTATGTTTGGCTGGAATTTTCTGAGCAGCACTTACCCACAGTGCTCCACAGCATGTCTTCAGTGACTCCAGTGAGCAATGGATTTACTCTTCCATCTGGGTACCTGATATGCTGTAGGCTCTGTATATATGCTGAGAAACTGCTGGGTGTGCATCTGTCTGGGGTTGCCAGGTGAAAGAAAGTCCAGGCCCACCAGCCCTCTGATTCTATCTGAATGACTTCCAGGCAGGAAAAGGGGCAGACTGGAGTTGGGCTTCAACATGGGTTCAGATATTCTCCCATGTGGAGTCTCTTGAGTGACCCTTGACTGTTTTTGTTAAAATTAAGTGGGTTTTGTTAAATTCATTAAAAATTAGTGGTTAAAATAATGTTAAAATTAATGGTGGCTTAAATCTGTTAGAGAAAGTGAATTTTTACAAGGCCTTCTGGCCCTGAGTGAGCCTGAAGCTCTTTGATTGAAAATGTGAATGCAATGTACTTCAGTCACTGAGATTTTGTAGAAACTAAAACAGATGCAAGAGGTCAGGGTGGGGAAAGCAAATTCAAATACTTTCCACCACAGAAGGGGGAGGTCTAGTCAGATGATTTAAGTCTTTCACATAAAATGTGACTGAATGTGTGTCTTCTGTAAGCAAATTGCTCAGGGAATGTAATAATATTGAATAATCAATAAATGCTAATGTGGCAATGAGCCCCAGGCTTCATTTCAAATTAATCATGACTGTATAGTTACACAGAACCCTGCTACCAGCCCAGCTTTACTGGCTGGAGAGCCAGGCTGTGGATCAGCACAGTCCTTCACTTCCTTTTGTCATTGGGATTATGATTCCAAGCATCCCCATTCCAGCTGTGCTTTGGGAGATTGCCCTGGGCTGCTCCCAGGAGCTCTTATCAAGCCTAGGGACACTGAGGCACCACCCTCTCTCCCCAGCAAAGATAAGGGTAAGGAGCACTTGAACTAGAAACCAGTAACAAAAACAACTGCACAAACCCACTGACTGTTCAAAAACTAAGGAAAATTACTATTCACTGCACTTTTAAGGAAAAAAACGGTAGTGAGTGTTATACTTGAAAGTTCTACTCTTTGGGGATTGCCAGCAGAAATGCAGAAAGCTTGAAAAGTCAAGTCTGACAAAAGCAATGGGGTTATGGGGCTTCCAGATCTGACACCCTTTACACTGCTCATCAGTGCTGGCCCTCTCTGACAGGGAGTGCCTCTCTCCCAGCTCTTACTTTCATTCTCCCACAGCAACAGTCCAGACAATGAGCTGTCAGGAATTGAATAATGTTCCCTGCAGTAATGCAGGCAGCTCATTTTCATCTATCTGAGTGTGTAAGAATTTAGGTTAGAACCAAGGAGCTGAAACAGGAATTTTAACTGTGCTTTGCCCCTTTGCTCACGAGACAAACTTCACGAAACAGAACACAAGAGGATGTACATGATACTCTGGGGGATACTCTGAAATGCAACAGCAAGAACATTTAAAGGATTAGTTCAACGACAGCTATTTTGTTCCAGTCTTAGGAGATTTTTAACAGTTAAGTTCGGCATATAAGAATAACAGGCTTGTATATCTACCAGTTCTCTTCCCAGCATCTTAAACTTCTTCCCCCTGGGGAGGAACCACAGTCCTGTCACTGAAGCAGCAGAAACAGCTGATTTTGCAGAGAACCTCAGTGCTGGGCTCACAACAGCATCTCATGAAGAGAGTACAGATGGACCAAAAACTGCAGGCACTGGCACTTCGTAGCATTCATTTCATTTCTACTCCAAACAGCTCTAGCTTTGGAATTCTTTATTTGGTTTGACATATGCTGAACAGATCCCGTGTCAAAGTTCTTCCAGGTCTCTTCCTTCCCAAGCTTCCCTCCCACCTCTTACCTGCCTGGGTGGATGGCCAGCAGTCCAGAACATTACTAGATATAAGATCATGGTCAACTGAAGCTACTAAAAGAAGGCAGAAGTTGGCAGCGTCAGATATGACTGTAGGGACACACTTTTCCCCTCTAACCCTCCTGTTCCAGGGTCCTGGAATACTGTAAAGCAGTAAGACTTCTGTTAAAATATCATGGTTAGGCTTCGTGAACGAAGATTTGGGAAGGGCTCTACCCACGTTTCTTGCAAGTGCGTTGGTGGCTAAAAAGGCCAATACGAGAAAGGCAAGTCCGGTTGCAAAAGACACAGCAGAAAGACTCCTTAGATGGTAGATGGTATATTCTGCTAAGACTTCTGTTAAAGTATAGAGAAGGGAGAAACAACATGTTCCCTACGTGTGTGCCCTCCAGAACAGGAGTCTCTTCAGGTGCTGCCCAGCCCCACCACTGCAGCACCTGCAGACACAGCCCTGCTTTGCTCCAAGCCGGGGCAGACAAAGTCCTTATCCTGGAGACGTGCTCTGTGTTGCAGGAGAAGAGGCACAGCCTTCACTGTAAGGCAATGCAGGGCCACCCTTCAGCCTGGAGGAGGTGGTGTAGATTTTTTTACATGTCTCTTTTCTGAAGGGTCTGCATTTCCTCCTCACTCTAAAGCAGCGAGTTCCTCCAGGAGCTGCTCTTTCTCCTGCTGCAGCTCCTGCACCCGCTGTTTGTTCTGCTCCAGTCTGTCCTCCAGCCACTGCAGGAGGGGCCCACTGATGGCAGACATCTGGCTGCAGAGGTTCTTTGTGAACACTGCAAAGAGCAACCACACGTCATGCCAGGGCAGCACACAAGACGCTCAGTGTGCTACAAACCACCCCAAAGCCAACAGTGTCACAGACAGCCAAGGAAACCCTCCACCCTGCTGGCCCTGCCAACCACACATCCCCTCAGGAACGTCAGAACCAGCAGCCTGATAAACAGGGAAACGCTATTTCAGTCTCAGCCAGGGGAGGGATGACAGACCTGCAGCAGAAATCTGGAAACCTGCACACAAGTCATCACTGCTGCTAATTAATCTCTAAATTTAGAGGAATCAAAGAATGCCTCATCTCTTAAACGTGTGAGAATGGATAACGGGATAATTATCTTGGAACAGAAGTGGGATTGAGATTCACCCTGTGACACTGGCAAAAGCAAAGGTGTCACATCCACACAGCTCACATGAAGTGCCAGGAGATGCAGGCGTGTGTACAGCTCAGCCACACAACACTGTAACTCTCAACAAATCCCAAATCCCCCTTGCTGTTCCAACAGAAAAAATAACCTAAACAAACCAAACTCAGAAAACCCAAACAATCCCGAAGTCTGTTGTAATTTTAACCAATTCTACAAAGGCTGAAGGACACAACAGCATTCATGAACCCCAGGATTAGGTTATTTTACAGCCTTTGATGTTTTCCTATAAAGTATTTACTTTCAGTTCTGTTCCTTAACTAGATTTTATGTAACAAGATAACTGTCTCAGGGAATTCTCTGGCTTACACAGTCTTTGTGATTAAGAGTGAGGCAAGGGGAAAAAAAGCTAGTATGTGTGCTTTTCTAGCTATTTACAGCTGCCTTTTATGGCAAAGGGAGGAGTGTTATACATGTGTAGTCTAAAGACCCCCAAATTTAGAGCCAAACCAAGCCCTGCTCAAGACTCCACTGTTTTGACTCTGGGAGCAGCACCCTGGATTCTCACATGCAAAAAAGGAATCCTTACCTGAGCCATTATGGATCTTGGTTACCGAGTCCAGATGGGTGAGGCTACGACAAGGAACAGAAAGCAGGTCAGAGACAAGCCAGGGAACTGCACATTAAATCCAGGCTGCAGAACCACTGCCTGCCAGTCACTGCCCACACCACAGGTGCCTCCAAGTCTCACCTGCTGCACATTCACAAGGACAAATGACCCGTGATCACAAAACCCCACATTCTGCTGGTAACCCCAGCCTCAGTTATTCAACCAGTTCTACAGAGACACATGAGCTGCTAACCCTTCTCATCTTCTACAGCTTTGCAAAGGTTGTGGTGCAGCAACAGTAGAACACATGTCAGCAAAGACAGTCCTGGAGAGGTGCAGAGCCCCACTGCTGTTACCTGTGAATTCTCCTGTAGGCATCTTGCTCTTCTTGGCAAAGGATCTTGGGCAGCTCCACAGCTGATTCCAGACACACTTTCCCAATGGTTTCATGGGGGACAACATGAACAGGAATTTCGATCCTTTCATACCTGAAAGAGTTTCAGATACAATTAACTTCAAAGCAGCAGAGAAAAAACAGGACTTCTACAACCTACCACAGTCTGCCCAACACATGGCAGTGCTGCACATCCACTTTTGGGAACACATGCCTAAGTTGGCAGCCAAAGGGAAGCATTTTATACACTTGTCTTATTTTAAAGATGCTAAAGCAACTGGGTGGCCAGTACTGACAACATGTTGCACAGCGTGTGTGGTCAGTGAGGAGCCTGAAGGCTCGGCCTCTAGAGCTGGAAGTAAAAAAGTGGGGCTCCTACACAACAGGTTACAGCACAAACCCCACCCTGCCTACAGCAACCTACCCCAAATCCTGAGATAACAAATTATCTAGGGTAAGGTAATCTTTACATTCTCTTTCATCAGCCTGCACGAGAAGTCAGGAGACCTCATGAACAGCTCTTGCTCCTCATGACAGACTCAGAAGCCACTTATTTGAGACAACCCAGAAAGGAGAGACAAGGTGAAATATAACCTGATACTGAGAGCCAAAATGAAATACAACCAGACACTGGACAGAAATTTCTTCTGCTGTACTCACTCTGAGCTCTTCTGGGCCTGAATAGACTGGAAACAGGTATAGAGAATCCTGCCTGTCTGAGAGAGACAGCGGAAAGTCAGATTTCAAGTGCAAAAACCCATCTAAACCCACACATTCCTTTAGGAAGCAGAATATGCTTTCAAACAGAATTCCAACAGGTTGAAAAGGCACAGACCTTTTGCTGTGACTGGAATGCTGGAACTGCTTAAAGCAGACACTGACAAACCCTCCAATGATAAAAAAATCTGAAGCTGAAGCTGCAGCTGCCCACTGGCCCATCTTAGTGCACACACAGTGCAGCAGCTGCTGCAGCCCCCTGGGCAGGCTGTGGGGCAGCACAGAGGATTAATTACTCATTCATTTGTCACTGTCACAATCCAAACACCACCATTCCAGCTGGGCTTTTCACATGCCCCCAGAAGAGCTCTTTCCTTCTTGCAGGTGCACTCAGGGACTTCAGCTTTGCCCTGATGCTCCTCACGAGCACTTGGAGGGTTTGATGCCATTTTTAAGTTTCCTACCTTGGTGTTCTTGTCCTCGATGAAGCAGGAGAAGATCAGCCCTACAAAGCCTTGGTCCATCATCTGATACATGGCCTGTGTACGGACATCTGCAGGCACAGGAATGAGAGAATGAGAACGGTCACCTGGAGCAGTGGGAAAAGGTTTGCCACCTTTTGAAGGGTGATCTGGAATTTGGTAACAAGCGTCACAAGCTTTAAGTCCTTACTCCGAGTGACTAAGTTAAAAAAAAAAAGATCCAATTTAAAATGTAATTAAATAGCAAATCTTAAATACACCAGGTGAGTTCACAAAACCAGAAATGATCTCAGGATCAGCCTGGTGCCACAGGTCTCCATAAAGTCCAGCACATACAAGATACTCGTGCACTTCTTTCATAGAACTTTTAAGTGTTGCATTAACATGCCCAGATGTCAAAAATCACCACAGCAGGCCCAGAATTCCCACAGGGTTTTTTTGCTGTTCCCCACACCCTGGGTCTGGTTTTTCCATCTGGAAGAACAGTAGCACCAGCAGTAGCTGATCTGAGTCATGTTTGAGTCCCTGGGGCACACACAGTTATGGGGCTGCACTGGCAGAGGCCCCTGGAGCCCACCCAGACAGTCTGGTCCTACCAGGGGATGCCTGAGATGCAGAGTCCTGAACTGCTGGAATGTGCACCTCTGGAACTCATGAGTCCCACAGTCAGCCAGCTGGGAGTTCCACCCAGACCTCAGCTCAGGGCTCACCCAGACCCAGCTCAGGGCTCCTCTTACCCACGTGTGAGGGCCAGACAGTGATGTGGGGGTGGGAGTGGTACCAGCCCACCACCCTCATGGGACGTCCTGTCATCTCAGCCAACCTGTGTGGGAGTCAAGGAGCTTTTGGAACCAGCAGAGCAAAGGGGAGGAGTTTTTTGTACCAGGAAAAACAGTAGAGTTTTTTAAAATAGTTTCTCATCAGCCAACAGAATTACAGGTCCCTTTGGAGGGGCGACAAGACACAGGGAGCTGATGGAGCCTCTTCCCCAGCACCCTCAGGAGTCACTGCTGCAGAAGCAAATTGAATTTTGCTTGCATGTGGCAGTAAAGAACATTTCAGCAGCTGAGCAAGCCAGAATTCCCAAGTGTGTGCAGAGAAGAGGCTCCTCAGTGCCCCACCTGGAGACCTGCTGACCTTTCATCTCCCACCACGCCTCCCTGCTGGAGTGCCACCCTCCCCAACAAACACACTGCAGAGTTACTTGTCACCAAACACACAAAAGCTACAAAAATTTCGTAACACAGCTCCACTGCCAGTGCTGGAACCAACTCCAGGGAAAGGCAAGTGCCAGCACAGCCCTCCCAGCCCAGGAGCTGCAGGAGGAGCAGCTGAGAGCTTCAAGCCAAGCAGAGCAAGTGTGAACCGCAGCCCATCAGCAGAGGTGTGAGGGGAAGCACTAAAGGATATCTCTGCTTCGGTGGAGGCAGCTGAGAGCTGCTCCGGGGAGATCTCCACGCGGTCCTTCCTCTTGTCGGAGCGGCGCAGGATGATCACAGAGTGGATGTGGACGATCCTGCTGGTGTCCACCTGCCCACAGAGGGAGAGTAGTCACTGCCCTGGCAGGGAGACACCCACCCGCGGGGCAGGGCCGGTTCTTACACGGGCACACGGAGAGGGGAAGCTCTCCTGGCTCTGACTGTCACACTGAGAGCCGGTAAATAAACTCTCCAACCAGTTCGTTGGGTTGGAAAGCCGACATTCCTTTACTCAGCGCTCTGGGAGCGCGGGGATAACTCCACGGAAATGCACACCCAGCAACTAAACAGAGTAGGGTACAGCCACGAAACTAATGCATATTCATCACACTAATACATATTCATCACATTTCTGATGCATATTCATCACGCCTCCCGAATACATGCATACATGCCGGCTATTTCGCTGGAGTAATTTGAATATGACTTGGGGTTTTTTGAGGTCATACGGGAACATCCCGTTCCCCAATTTTCCCTTTTATGGTTCTGGATCTTCTAACGAATATTCTCACACATGCGGTCAGGTCATGATGCACTTCTTTTACCGTTCTTTGTTCTCAAAACTAAGACATCTGCTAGCACCTATTAATTACTGATACGGGTAAATAAGGTAACAGTCACAGATCTAGGGGGTTAACGCAAAGGTGCGTTAATCCCTGGTGTTTGTCCTAAGCACTACACAATAACCACGGCAAACACTATGGTGCTAAAGAGCCCCAAACCCGCTGGACAGCGCCTCCTCCCGCCACGCCTTTCCCCCCAGGGCGGTACCTCTCCGATGCAGAGCCCCATGACCTCCTCCTTCTCGGTGCTGAGCGCGTGGTTCAGGCACACTAGGAACGCGTCCGCCTCCAGGTGCACGGCCTGCACCGCCATCTTGCCTTCCCCTCACCGCCCCCGGCCCCGCCCCCCGCGCGGCCGGGCCAATCGCAGCGCCGCCCGCGGGCCCGCCCGGCCAATCGGCGCGGCCCCCGCTGAGGCGGTGCGGCGCGGCGGAAGGGCCGTG